AACTCCCCCAAAGAGGAATTATTCCTTGAGACATAACATGCCACGAGGGAAGCCCACAAATCAGGTATGAATGGAGACAAGACATCAATTCTAGAAGGAAGGGAAGATGGTGCTTCTAAGGATATGGACCTCACAATATCTAAATAGCTTTTTCCTGTGGCATGGCAGATGTGTTTGAAACAAGAGATGATTGGGAGAGCATCAAATTCTCACACAATGTATGCGCGGCAAAGGAGGAGGAACACTGGGTAGGACAGGAAAAAGAAGAATGAAACCATCCAAAGAGAAACGGATTTCCTTACTAGTACTTGGAGCATACTCGTCCTGGGCCACACTCCTGTCCCAGCCTGGAAACACTGTTGAGTAAATCGTCTCCTCTGAAGAGTCTTCATCATCTGAACCGTTGCCACTTGAAGTCACATCTGCTGTGATGATGTTAAATCTGACATGAAGCCCTAACCCACAAGGTCTTCTGCTGACAGCAGTTATGCTTTCCTGTCTCCCCTACATGCAGCCTTACAATCACAGAAGAGAGTGTACAGCACCGTGCTTCCCATGGTCCATACCTCCTCCTGGTTCTTCTACCCACAAGGGGTTCATCATTCTGCCATGGCCCTGCTGAAGCTGCCCCAATGTGGCTCTTAGCTATGTTTCAGTGCCCTACGCATGCTCGCAGCACCAACCATAACCTGTCCTCTTCTAGCAGGGTGAGCACAGTGAACTAGCTTGAAAAACACTTTCTTCCTTTCTCCCACAAGTCCTTCTCATTGGAATAGCCTGCTTCTAAATTGCCTCCAAACAGGAAAAAAAAAGAAAAACCCAAGTACTTCCTTTATAGAATGACTCACATACTCGTCCTGTGTACTTTCAGACATGCGGAATACCTCTGCAGTACGTGAACAGTGTGGGCAGCTGCTCTGTCGCTACCAAACGTACAGAGCCCAGTACTTTGCTTTCCCCACTTCAAAACACAGGTAACAAAAAGCAGTTAATGTATACCACGCATTGAACCCCCCTCCACTTAATGTTTCTGAAGCTTGCTGCCCTGGTGCTCTGGTTATTCAGCCCCTAATCAAAGCGCTCTCTTAGCATGACATTCTTTACCCTTGGTTGCTTGTGTGGGTTCATGCGTCTTCTCTCCAGGATTTGACCACCACCAGTGGTTTGGGAATGGATTCCACCAAGCCTGGGTGGTGCCTTGCTCCAGGTTGTCGTGATGAGGCCCTGGAGCTGTTAGGACATGGTTCATTCAACCGAGATCTTGTTATTATTTCTTGAGAAGCACTTTCCTCCAGCAAAGTCAAGTCCACTAGCACCGGCACCCTGAGCATGCTCATGCCACTGATACGGATGTGAGTGCAAGGTGAATGTATGAACACGTGGTGTCATTACATTCCTCAAACAGCAAAAATATCCAGTGCTTTTAGCCTAAGTGAAGCTTGAACATTCTACTAAAGTATAAGATTGTGTTACTAGTTCTGATAGTCTGGTAAAGTCAATGAATTCCACATAGCATTTCCACTTGTGACAGACAAAGATATGTAATGTATGTGAAATATGCCCCAATATTTTGAAAAAAAGCATTCAAAGCTAATAGAAGCATGCACACCACAGAAATTTAAATCCCTCAAGCAAGTCAGTTGATAGTTTAACCTTTCTCTCTGCTATAAAAGTTATTCATCAATAAACTGAGAAGCTGAGTTTGCAAGAGCTGTGCTTCAAGTGATACACATATTCACCAAAAGAAAGCAAAATCTACTTCAAAATGTTTCTCCAGAAATATTTTTATTCTGGCAATTCCTCACAAGCAATACTTTTATCAGCATTTAGACCATCTTCTATGTCTTGAAAATGAAGAAAAGAAATTGTGAAAGAAACTCTTTTTCATTCAAGAAAAAATCTTTAAATAATTATTTCAGAAAAATACCTTGAACACTGACATCAAAGACACTCATTTTTGTGCAATATATGAAAGCATTGGAAAATGCAAGACCTGTGAATCAAAGTACTAATGAACAAACAGGATAAACTGATGTTCTTCAGTCTGCAGTAGTTCTGTTTCGCTTATCTGTTAACTGCAAAGTGTACAAAATGTATGGACTTAAACCCAGGTGGTCTCAGATTTGGAGCTTTGGGATGGAACTGTGAACAAAATCATAATGCCAAAAAAATGGTTAACAAGAAAATAACTGAGTGACTAAATGATTGCCATCTGACTTGTAATCACAGCAAAATTCTCACCTCTATCTGCTTTCTACAACAAACCTGAGGTGTTCATTTTCTTAAGTGATGAATATGCACTCATGGCTTCCACACACAAAATACCAATGCAGATTCTTTCCTGTCAGATCAGCCAAGGTGTGGACATGAGACTTTTTTCATTGATGAGACTTTTTTCAGGGAATGCTCCAAACCAAATAAAGGGAAAATCCACCAGAGCTTAAAAATATCTATTATATATGGACAAACAAAATCAGTCACAGTTACTGTTTGAGCATCTAGCTCTTATAACTTAGGGAAGTATCTCATCGATCAGCAAGAGAATTTTATGACATCTGACCCATGGCACAGATGAATCATAACTTGTTAATAGCAAAGAGAAAAATTTGTTTCAGCCAAGAGAGAAAGTCAATGGCAAAGCGCTGGCAGTGTATAATCTGGACCGTGAACTTGATGGAGAACATCCAATAATGTCCAAAGCCAGAGCAATAATGAAAGGGGATCACCTGAAGAACAAGGAGCTGTGGCAATTTCTCACTTCAAACCCATAGCAAAGAAGTGTTTTGAGAGACAGCTTTTCACCAAACTTGGAAGTTTACAAATGGTGTGTAGTATAGATGGAGGGCCACCAGTTTTGTTTCTCACTTTTACACACTATAGAATTAGATAAGGTTTTTTTTAGCCATCTATCTGAAGTCATATGCCAAATAGTTTTGTTTACTTATTTCTTAATTTTATATCTTTCCTGTCTGTGGGATTTTTCTCTGGGAAATTAAATTGTGGCCAGGATATTTCAACGAACCTGCACCGTTCCACAATGTAAATAGCAGACATTGGAGCATGGCTTTATCTTCTTTTTTGTTTGTTCTCCATGTAACTTTCTCCTATGCTACTGAATATTTGATGACTTCTCATGGAGATGCATAGCTTATACTTAACTTCTGAAGGGTGTGCTAAATTACTTATGCGTTTGTAATGCAGTAAAATTAAATGAAATGGGTCTGTTTGGCTTTAAAGTGGTGTTGCTGAGTAATAGCTAAAGCTATCAGAAAAGCCCAGGTGCAGTACCCTCATAATCTTTTTTTCCAGAGAATCAATCTATCAACCCTAAACCAATAAGCAATCATGCCAATGCTATCGCTTCTATGATACACATATATCAGTATCTTTTGTCACATAGCTCTACAGTTTTTGTGGTCTTTTAAATCTTAAATACAGCTAGTTTTCCCTCTGTAAAATAGTCGTGCCCATGAGACAGAACTGTTAGCAACAGGAAGGGACATATGTATTTAGGATCAATACATTTGATAATCAAGTAGTAAAAGGAAAACAGAAAGCTTTCCTGCCTAGAAACAATGCACAGGTTTTTGCAATGGGTACAGAAACACCTGCTCAAGGAAGTACTAAGTCACACACACATACAAAAGCAAATAAATATGCAGGGAAAATCACCACCAGAGTGAACCGAACTCTCCACTATTACCAGGTGGGATTTCCCGGCCTCCACCCCCACCCCCCTTGGCAATATTCTGTAGTAAAACCTTTCACTTGAAATAAGCACCAGAAAATTCTCTACTTGCTTCCAAGGCTTGGGGGAAAATCAAACCGATAGTTCTTTTTTCCATCTACATATTTATAAGGTATTACTAACCTTCACATCCTCTGAGACAAGATGTTTGAGTGATTTCTGTCTTTTAGTAATGCTTTTGCTAAATGTGTAAGACATACAATCATGCTTACTCTGCCCTGTGATTTCTAAATACGGTAATGAGAGCACCGTCCCTCCAACTCACATAGACCATTTGACCATCTATCAGCAACCAACAATTCAGCAAATTCCTCATTATCACGGGCTTCCATGGTGGGAGAAAAAAAGAGTCATCAGGAAGAAACTTTCATTTCTATCACTTCAGCCTTTACTATGACATACCTCTGTAGATCTCCTCTGTATAATTAAAATGTTCTGCCTTTAGGTTCAATTTATTTTCTGCGGCAAAGACCTTTACCACCCTAAATTTAAGAACTAGAGTGAATATATCTACAGTTCTAGTTTAAAATGTGTCAGAAGACTTCGTAAGTTTTGTATTTGCTGTAGCTGCTGCGCACTACTTATTTGATAGAAACATCACAAGCAGTTCTTCCCACTTAGTACAGCTATTCAAGAACAAAGCAGAGAAAATGGCTACTGTTCTTCTGAGCCCTCAAAGCCTGTGGAGCCAGCACAGGCCCCAGTTTTTTCCCATTGATATTGCCAACAAGAAGGATGAAATTAGTTTTTGCAGTGCACAAGTAGCTTGGCAATTGGAACTGCCACTTAAAGCACTGCTTTGGTGAGCAAAGCCATGGTTTTGACGTGGTTTACCCACATTCACAACCATAAATATATTGGAATCACAGACACTTTCATCACAAATTGACAAAAATGCCTTTTTCTACCTCAGAAATAAATTGACTTCAAGCGGTAATTGGTTGCGCTGAGTTGTGGTGCCTCATAGAGTAAATAGGTGTGATAAAAAAGCAGTGGGAAACACAAACCAACAATTTTTCTGAACTCATGTATAAGCATTGAAGTAACCATACAGTAAATGTGTTTGCTCCCATGTCCCAGAGAGTGAAGCTTATTTCTGACTTAACCAGTCTGGAAAGCACTGTCATTCAAGGTCTTTCGAAGACTGGAGATGATGTACACTTCACCACTTACCAGAATGCCCTGCTGGAAGAAGAAAGCAGTTTTAATGCAATCTATTTTTGATGTAGCTATTATAATACAGAAATCTTACTAGTACTCGCAGGATACTGTCCACCGTCTTTTTCAGGGGAATCATCAGCTGTCGTCACCAAAGCGATGTCAGGTGTTACAGGAGAAACTTCATCATCTGTATGGTGATGGATTAATCATTACTATTTCATTAGCTGAGTTGCAACTCAGTCCTCACAACTACTTCAGTTATTCTATACTGCAAGCTTTATTCCCTCATTTATTGGTCCAGAAGAGAAGAAAGATAGAGACTAGGTTGTTCATATAATTCAACCCCAAATAGCCTTACTTTACTAACATAGTAAGGATATCACCAAAAGATTATTTCAAGAGGAGTATGTATTACAGTGATAATGAACATTCTGGAAATGATTTGAGCTCTAATTGTACCTGTACACCACCTGGACAGGGATTCTAGAGCAATGAGTGAAGTTATTTGTATTGCCCTCTTTACTGAGATATATTCTGAGATTTAGTCCAAAAATCTAAACTCTGTATGTAAGCAGAGTTGATAAGAGTTGTCATGGCAAGCAATTGAAATACCTGGCATACACCTTGGGGAATGGCTCTGATCCTAGCTCCTTAGGAAGAGAATGTTAGGATTTACCTTTCATAATGCTAACTACATGGACAAACAGGCATAACGTCATGAGTACACCATCAGTGAAAAGTCATTTTATAAACCTAATGCTTCTGCTAATTTATTTTTTTTTAATTTCAGTATTTATTGAGGATAGTGATGCAAACTACTGGTCTCCTTCACTGGTAAGTTATCGGTGATTTAATAAAAAGCCCGTAGTCAGAGGTCACGCAGTAAACTTTACTGTACTTACAGGATGAATTATATTTGTATCCCTTAAGTTCAATTGCTACTCTTTCAGACCTCTGATAATTTTAGCCACACAAGCAACATAAAAGGTGAAATAAAATACACACCACTTTCACAAGAAAGCAAGATACAGGCAAGGCACTCTAATTCACTAATTTGCCACCCCACAAAATGCCCTAGAAAAGAGTATGGCATTTGTATTTGGTAGGGCCTCATGAAACCAGAATTTGGCTTTTTATCTCAATCTGCATTCTGTACTATGCTGTAGTAAGATGTCCTAAAAAAAACCCTGTATTTGTATAAAGAGAAGTCACTTGTACTGTAAACTCCTCCTTGTTCTTATTACTTAATGTCAATTCATCCTTTTAGAGAACAAATAAGAGTATGTTATCCTAATCTCTATATAGCCATACCTCTCTGTGGTCACTGCTAGATATGTTTTTGAGCCTTAAATGAAATAGATATTTTAATAAATACAAGAGCAAATTCTTATAATCATCTATTCTCAACAACCTGTGAAGGTATATGTGGGAAACTACACTGATGTGTGGCTGCTTCGTACTCCCATGCAGTCAAAAAAAAATCCCTAGAAATTCAGAATGCTTCTGTTTTCTTTCAAAGACACACATTCTCCTGTTACTTCACCAGGACACAAATTAGAGACAGTGCTTCTCATTCCCTCATGATATCTTTTAACTAGCAATGTAATTCTTCACTCCGCAATTTTAAAGGGGATATAGTGGCAACCTACTGTCCTTACCAAAATCATTTCCAGTAGTTTCTTTTTCACCCCCTCCAGAAGAATGATCTGGCAGCTGTGAGACTGGAGTAGCGCTTCCATAATATGAGGGGCTGGATCTCCTGATGGAGGTATCCACGGGAGTTGTGTCATGTGTTGATCCACTACCCACATTTTCATCATCCACACCTGAGGTTGAGGACTCTCCACTGTGACGCGTGCCATCTGCATTATATCGTGAGCCATCTGCATTGTCAATGACTGTTGGAAAGAGGAAATTAAGCAGCTGATAATATCAAGGAGCTACATAGCTATATTTCAGTAATGCTAAACAGTTTCAGTCCCACAAAAAAAAAAAAAAAGAGAGAAACAGTTGTGGATTAATACCAGTTCATCCATTTTTGCCATCCTATCTAATCTCTCTAGATCATACACCACTAAACTATATCTAATGTATATATGCTAACATATAAATTTGTCAAACATATAGGGCCTATTCTGTATCAAATATATTGATCAGTTTGATTTTGAACATAAAATCTTGGCTTCCGTAAAGTCAATCAGAATTTTAGAATTGGGACAAATAATTTATTACGAGAGTTTTCTTCCCCTTCCAGCTGCTTTTCTAACCAGCAGCTCAAATGAGATGTAGAAAGGTTGCAAAGTCCTGTATGTCAAAGAAACATTAGCATCTCTGAGGTGCTAAAAAAAATCAAGTATCTGTATAAAAAATGTTTGGTAGCACCTTGAGACAAACCAAGCTCCATAGAATTTAGGGGAAGACAACAAGTGACTAATTGATTTAATTGCTGTTGAACATCTCTTGACTTGTATTTCTTATGTTTGGCTTGATTTTTAATATTGGCAATTGTTTATGCAAAAAAAAAGATAACCAGATACTAAAAATGAAAGAAGTGGGAGGTCTTTCTAGTCAATACAGTACCTATTTCACCCTGATTATTGAGGAAAGAAGTATCTAGTTTTTCAATTGGTTCACACGCTTTGTCCCTTGTTTCTGTAAAAGAAGGAAAATAGAAAATATTAATTTGAGAAAATTGAGAAAAATGTCACGTCTATACCCATATTAATTGTACATAATCACAAAACATCAGTTTCAGATGTGGACAGTTGAAAACAGATTTCCAAATCAAACGTTATTCATTGATCTACCTACGTTCCCTTTTTGCTCCTTCCCAGGTGGGGCACTTTAAGATTATTCTGTTAGCTAACAACGAGACTTCTTTTCCACAACCATTCCAGAAAATGGTCGCAATCAACATCAGTTAAAATAGCCTTATGACCCAGTTTCAATGCAGACAGCCCCACTGTCATGGCAGCAGTGGCAGCTCTAATCCTAAAAAGCCAGAGGGACCCCATCCCTTCCATGGAGGGCTCTGCGCAGGCAGAGCATGCCCTGGTCTGGTGAGCACTGCTTGCTCCAGCAGGCTGCAGTGCCACCCTCAAGGGCCAGCGTGTGAGCCACCCGCTCATAGTGCCGGAGGGGAAAAAGACTCAGGAGGAGTTATAAAGCTCTGGTGGGGATGGATGTAGCAGAAGAAGGGTCACCTGTGGGTGACAGAGGATGGCACCTCACTTGATACTATGCCAAATACAAAGATGAGTTTTAATGAATGACCACCAAGAACAAAATCAAAAAATGTCACTGCCATTCAAAGCATCAATGTTTTTGCCTACAGCTTTCTGTAAGATCTGTTTCCACTGTGAATGAAATAACCTACTGAAATTCAAGACACTTGAAGTTAGTCCCAATTTTATCTTCAAATACTGTGTTCAGCATCTGTCACAAGATTATCTACATTTTCCTAATAATTTAGTAAAATATTTCCAACTATTAAAAAGCTGAAAACCTTAGAAGAAAGCGGTCTGCTTCTGACCCACATCGCTATCTAACTACCTAATGTCTGAACGGAGATTTGCCCGAGAGCAAATACTGGATGGACCTGCAAACAAGAGAGCAGCAGCCACGTCCGTGGGCCTGGGATGGCCACCCCGCACCTTGGAGCTGCTGCAGGGGGCAGCCACTGCTAGCACCCCGTAACACAAATAACTGTTGTTCGCTACAGAAGGTCATTTGTGCATGAACAGAAGAGCTGAGCGCCATCGCCTGCAACTGTTATGTCTTTTAGATTCACTGCTGCAGTGGTTCACTGCCCAAAGCCATTATAATGAACCATTCTAAAGCTATTAAATTAGACCCAAGGGCAGAAAATGGTTTAGTTCAAAACACTCTAATGACAAAATGGGTCAGATTCATTGCTGGCATTATAGATAGATACACTTCTAGAGGCTGACAAAACTTATTTCTTCTCAGCAGAAAACCAGATGAGATTTAGTATAGATGCCCACACTCCAGTACCTTATATAGAAGATTACATATGTTACTATTAATCTATATCTAAAATGCATCGTAAAAGCATATACATACCTGTCGCATTGTAACAGTACGCATCATACCGCCCAGTTGTGTTTGCTGAAAGTTTATAAATGCCAGTATGATTTGCTGCACAAAGATGATAGGGATTGATTCGTGGGATAACAATATTCCCCACTACAAAACCATACCTGCGAAGAACAAAGGAGAATACACCATATTACAGCAGATGGCATAAATGTTCTAGGTATCTCAAATATGAAAAAGCTAAGAAGGAGCCATTATTTTCATCTCACATTATTTTTAAAATGTGCATGCATTTATGCATACTTTCTATATATGAAGGATGTTCCTTTCTCACATGTAGCTACATCAGTCTCCAGCCACTCAATACCATTTTGCATGTAATTTCAAGAGCTAAACCCATTTTAATTAAGGGAACATATTATTAGATAGGATGATCGGTTCCAGAGCAATGCAGTGAAAGGGAGACTGGGGGGCAAGTGCACTTTTTATTCAGTGTGAGGTCGTATTACCTGACACTAAAGACTGGATTCTTTTTCTTCAGGGAGTCACATATTCGTTGCTTTGAGCATAACATACTGCTCAGTGACATTTCACAGGGAAATGTTGGGGGCTCGATTTATAGTACATGAGCAAATTTAGAGCATGGTTGTAAGACATGTTGCTTTCTGGAAAAGCTGACAGCTTAGTTAAATGTTCAAATACAACACATTAATCCACAAATTCTTACTGTGTCTTCCAGTCAAACAATGTGGCTATTGTGTACAGAGCTCACATATTTCGGTGAAGACTGGTTAACAGAGCTACATAATGCACAGGTGTTATTCATATTTTGCAACCCTGTAACACCTAATTAATTCTAAAGTATTTAGCTGAGAGGTGTGATAGAATGGTAACGAGAACTGGGGTTTGGTTTGGGTTTTGCTTTCCTTCTTGAGACGTACAATTTGTCAGGGAGGAGTAAATTTCACAGCTTTGCAGTTTTTTACCTGTGAGCCCCATTGCAGTTACATGTCTAATGCGCAGATACTCGCAATTCTGAAACTCTCTTGTAGGTGGAATTATAAATTGCATTACTCACACTTCCAACTGAGCCTACAATGTTGACACCTTATAATCCATTAATCACCTACTTGTGTTATGGTCTGTTGATACACTCACCATTCTACATGTATTTTGACAATTACATGCAGTATATTTTTTCTCCCTTAGTCAAGCACAGGATCAACAAATGAAAGCAAGAGGGTGGGAGGGCTTGCCAGAATGAATAAAAGAAGGGATCCTATCTGCATGCCTTACATGTCCAAATCTGTCCTCTGTTAAACTGTGAATTAGGGAGAATTGTAACACTGGTGAAAAATTACAGCTCTCCACTGCAAAACCATTTCCTTCTACTCCTTCTTTCAATTGTCTTTATATTTTAACTTCAGAAAAGACTTTCCACGTTGCAGAATACTCATAAATGCAAGAACTAGAAATGTCTACCCCTAGGCGTTTAGTTAGGATTTGGTCCTTAGCCTCTACATACTGTGTAGTGCATGTCAATTCAGAACACCAAGTACGTTCATGTGCTAACATTAGACAGAGAACATCCTACTGTGTTATGCAGGACTTTTCCCTCAGAGTAAATAATTGTCCTAGTTTTATGAGGCGCTATTTTAAATGACATTCCCACTTCTCACAGAAAAATCTTCTCAGAATTTTCTATCCATTGTTCCCTGGCAATATTGGCCACCTCTTTCACCACTGTGCAGGGCATAATGCTTGTGAAAATAAACATGGCATATGCTGTCATCAGTGGCAGTGCATGACATTTATGTTTTCAAGGCACTGTGCATATACCTTTCCGTGATTACAAATTACTTCGTACTGATGCTATTATTTTGAAAGAAGCTTCATTCGGTGCTCATGGGCTGGCAAGACAGTGGGAAAGAACATTCATGCATTAGGTATTAAAAAAGTAAAACACCACTGACTAAACTGAAATGAAATAATTCACAGGAAATAGTTGCAAGCAGTATGGATGGTAATACTATTTCTCATGGTGCCAGAATGAAAGTCTTAAAATTCTGGATAAATCTCCACTGAATTTTCTACTCCAGGCACATGGAAGATAAATTCCATTTCTCCATATTTGCTGTTTATTTTAGATTGTAATAAAGTTGAAAATCCATGGAAATTTATTTCAAGTCTATAGTATTTTACAAACATGAATCTATGTTGTTTGATTAAAAAAAAAAAAGCAAACTTCAAATTTACAGCTCCTGAGTTCAGTCTCTTTCTGCATATGAATGTTTAGGATGACTTGCATAATAACTGTATTATGTATTTTGTTACACAAGATTACATGGTCATCTAGCCTCATGTATTTACAGACCATAGGACTGTCCTGACTTGATTACTGTTTGAACAGGGGGCATCCTTAGGGAAAACATTTCATTTTGATAGAAATTTGGTGTGACAAAGAATCTACTACAACCCTTGTAAGTTGTTTTGGCCAATAGTTATTAATCCTTACATATTTTGTTGTATTAGTACTCAATTTTTTTAATCCAAAATGTACTGTGAGTAACTTCCAGTCTCCTGGTCTCTTGGTCTAGTTATTTTTTGCTAAACTGAAGAGCCTGTATTATCCGCATTTATTGCCCTATACATCATTAACTACAGAGGGTAATTAAGTCACTTGACAATGTGGTTTTGGGTTTTTTAATCATTTTTATGGCTGTCTTCTGAAACTTCTCCGTTCACAGATTATAAGAGTGCACTAACACTGTGGCCATTTATGGTTTAGTGGTGGGATGGCAGGGTTAGGTTAGCAGTTGGAGCTGACGATCTTAAAGGTCTTTTCCAACCTAAACAATTCTATGATTCTGTGATTTCTTCACTGGGATGTCAGGAGTTCACTCTTCACAGTACCATTTTCTGCTTTTTACTGTTTCTTGACAAGACAGAGTTCCCTATACTGTATATACCATCTTCAGTCTTTGACCTTATATCAGGTCATTAAAAATCATAAATAATTCTCACATACATATCTTACCAATTAGTCAGTGATACAGTGTGATCTGAACATCTTCCTAATTAGCTTATTATACTGTCAATCTTTGTTATCTTTAGATTTTTTCTCTCAGAGGTTATGATTTTTAAAGATAATTGGTAAAAAGTATATGCAATAAAGGACTTATTTATTACTGGACCCAGAGCAAACATACAGGTGCACAAAGATGTTTTGTTAATCACACAATATAACTTGAGGACTGATACAGCCATTTAATTATCTGCTATATGAAGTCAACTATAATTATTACACTATAGCATGGATGGATGGACTAGTTGCGATATATTATTTTTTCAAGGATTTATTTACCTGCAAGTTTCAAATCCAAGTTCGTGAGCTTTCTTCAACTGCTCTAGTGTTGACAAGGTACTATTGAGAGCTCTGCAGAGTTCAACTGCTTCAGATCGTGTGAGACTGTAGCGACCATTTTTCTCAACGTGAAAAACTCCTCCATATCTGCAACTTACATTGAATTCTGTTATCAAAAGAAAAGAAAAAAAAGGAATTACAAATTATTGGACTTAATGCTTCGCTGAAGACCTTGAAATTATTTATTTTCAAGTATAGCGCTTTCAATGCAAACCAGCAACAAGCAGCAGCTACTGATTCATTCAGAAAGAGAGCCGGCACTTTTCAATCACCTTCGTATACCGTTTCTTTGGGCTGAGACACAACCCAAGTCTTCAGCCTTTCCAAAAATAGCAATACAACATGGTTTTGTGATGTATCTTTTAACATACTGTCCTGGTTTCTGCTGGGACAGAGTTAATTTTCTCCCTAGTAGCTGGCATAGTGCTGTTTTGGATTTAGTACTAGAAGAATGTTGATAACACACTGATGTTTTGGTTGTTGCTGGGTAGTGCTTAGACTGGCCAAGGACTTCTCAGCTCTCAGCTCTGCCTGAGTGCATGAGAAACTGGGAGGGGGCACAGCCAGGACAGCTGGCCCAAACTAACCAAAGGGCTCTTCCAGACCATATGGCATCATGCTCACTATATAAGCTGGGGGAAGAAGGAAGGGGGGACATGCAGCATGATGGCGTTTGTCCTCCCAAGTCACCGTTACGCATGATGGACCCCTGCTGTCCCGGGGATGGCTGAGCACCTGCCTGCCCATAGGAAGGAGGGAATTAATTCCTTGCTTTGCTTTGTTTACATGCGTGGCTTTTGCTCTACCTATTAAACTGTCTTTATGTCAACCCACGAGTTTTCTCACTTTTACTCCTCTGATTGTCTCCCCCATCCCACTGTGGGGGGAGTGAGTGAGCGGCTGCGTGGTGCTAAGTTGCCAGACGGGGTTAAACCACAACACATACCGTTAACAATAACACACAGAATATGTAAATACATTGTGAAAGTCTTGGAAGCCACATTACTGCAAAACTAACCAAACATTCAAATGTATTTGAAAACAAAATATTTCATTCATAACAGAATTTTTTAAAGATTAAATGGTGTGTAATCAGAGCCTTTATGATCATAAGGTTCCTTAATTATCTCATTGTGATCCCTTCACAGTGAATCCTTTTAAATGAATATATACCTCAATCCAAAGTTTCAGAACTAGTTCAAGGAACATTAGTAGCTAGACAAAAGCAGAAAGCTTGCATCAGTTTGATGTTGCATGACCTGCCTGAGACAAAACCTAATTGAGCTGCACAGATATTCTGAACTAGAAAAAAACTTTATGCTGTTAAACACTCCCTGAAAGATAATCTTCAAGCTCTTCCTATTCAGACTGCTGGGGCAGATAGAGAAGCATCAAATACACATTATATAAGAGCTCACATGAATTAACTTCTTGCTCCCTATTCATTCACCTTGACAGTACTTCCTTCCATTTTGAAAGGCTTTCTCTTGCTGAGCTCATGCTCACACACAAACATCTTACTGCCACTCCATGTCAGAGTTTCAATATGTACTGCAGTAAGTTTATTTTAATTATTATTAAAGGATGTCTTAGACAGATTGTAATGTAATAATACTGCAAAGGTTTGCACATGGAAGTAACTTTCAATGGAAAGAATTATGAGGATAAAAACAATGAATAAAATAAAAAAAAAATTTAGGTGCCATAGGTATGTTGCATGATTTATTTTCTGGCCTTCAGCTTGGGAACCCTGAACATGCTGTACATGCAAAGCCTATGGAAGGGGAGCACCTCATACAATTCACTACAGACACTGAAAGAAAGGCATAAGAGCTAGAGGCTCTAAAATCACATGCCATTCATCTTTATGTTGGAAAGATACTGCCTGCACAATGCAACAGGTACAGTGGGAAAACAGTATAATCCAAGGACAGTCTGTGACTGAGTAAAATGAGAGGAAAAATAAAAATTTGTTTATCATCTTTTTTTAACAGGAACAGCTAAGAAAGAGTTAATAATAACAACATCAACAATAATAGTATGAATAAGAATAATCATGTGCCTGGAGAAAATGGGGAAAGATCAGGATGCTTCAAAGAAATGTGAATTAACTTTGCTCCTGCCCCACCTTTCCCTCAAGAGAAAAAGGTTGTTGCTACTCCAGACTAGAATGACAACTGCAAAGCACACTTAATTGGAGTAGCCGGTTATTCCCAATGAAGACAGGAGTGTAACTAATTTTTATCTTAATTTTAGTGGGAGTTCCCCGTGCAAGAAAATGAAAAATAGCCCAGTCTTCTCCAACTATTAAAAGGGGGTGTTTGTGCCATCTATTTGAAATAAAAGATGCCATATAATAACTGTCTTCCTAAAAGACCCAAAATGCGATTCACGCACATTTGCATTGACACATTCTATGCGAATAATAAGCAGCTTTCCTAATGTCATTTTCTCTTGATGGTCTATTTCCTTCTATAGCATATACGTGAAAGCAAATGATAGTAAACAAGGCATGCACTCTTCCTTCAATTGTTTTTGTTCACTGGTAAACTGGGGTTATTCTACCTACAGTGTATCTACTCGGTGTGAACTGCAAGGACTGCTCCATTCCACAAGTAACAGGAAACAATCAAGGAGCTATAATACCAGATTAGATCCAGGCTGTAAGGTGTATGAGAGGACAACCATTATTTGCAGCATAGGTAGGAGTCCAATACTATTGATGACTGCTTGTCCAAAGGAGCTCAAAAGCTATGCATCCAATCTTAAATATTTTTACTACAGGCAACAGAATTAATCATTATGGTCACTTGGATTGCCTTTCCACAAAAAGAACGTAAAAAATATCTCTTCTCCCACCTGCCCTCCCAATTATTTAGGCTGACAAAAACATTTAATGAAGACAAAATTTATATACATTGTATAGCTGTTTAACAGCCTTGATTATTATAGTTCTTAATATTTTTATAATCACGTTATAAAAAAATACTGAGTTTTATTTTTATTTTTGTAAAATTTATGCAAGACTAACATGTCTTCTCAAAATGCCTTTATTTTGACACAGCTGTTTTCTTCCAGGGAAAAATAGTTCCATTAAAATTTCTCTGATGACAGCCTGTCATGAGAGGTTTTGAAGGCAAGAATGAGGAACCTGTGTGGAAGAGAACACTAACAAATGCATTTTTCTTTCCTGGAGAACTTCATGTCTCGCAACAGGGCTGGGTTTCACAGTCTGAGGAGAAGCTGGTGGATTAACATAGAATGGTAGTCTCAGCAAGTTCCCACACATGATTCTGAAATAGGCGCAGTGCTTCCACAAGTGGCAGATGCAGACCTGCACAGCGCTGGTCCTGAGGATAGCTGATGGACTAGACACCTTCTGCGGGCACACCCCTTGCTGAACAGCACCACATGCTCAAAAGCTATCACCACGTGTACCTACAAGTCACACATGCAGCCAACGGATGTTCAGGTTGCAGATCACAATAGATGTTTTCTTATAACAACTCTGCACAAAAGGATGTGGCTTACAACTACTGCTATGGGATGGAGCTGCTCTCACAGCTGCCATGTGAGTGACTTCTACTTTGACTCCAAATGTTCCATATTTAAAGCCTAACATTGTTTTGGAAGTTGTCCAATCAATGCGCTGTATTAAATATAAATGACCCAGACTGGAAAAAGGCTTCTCTTTAGTTTTCCCTTCTTGATTGTCTCTTCCCTATAGAACAAGGCAAGCCTAAATTTGTCAAGGGTTGGAAGGGACCTCGGGAGATCATCTAGTCCAACCCTCCTGCTAAAGCAGGTTTAGAGTGAATTTGATTCATATGTGATCAAACCTCAGCCCATTCACAATTTTAAACCACTGCAATATATGCTCCATTACCACCCAGACATCCAGTCATAGTCAGAATCCCACGTATTAGACAGACGATTCCTTGAACTCCAACTGTTGAAAATAAATAGGCTTATTTACACAAATAGGCTTAATGGAACATTTCTCCCTGTCTTTCCTGGAATTTCTAGTGCTCTGTCTCAAGCAGCTGCATACAAGCCCTTTTCTGCTATCGCCATTCACACATCTAAACCAGGCTCCATTAATACTTTTCAGCCAAAATCACTAACTCCAGTTCCACAGACAGTTTGCTAGCTAGAGCCCACTGGTGTGACAGAATGGCTGAGACAGACTAAAGAGCATTGTCCTTTCACGAAAGCGTGAGTTACACACTGATTAGTAATCCTCAAGGCTTGTTAGAATCTGTCACAGGAAGAAGCCAGGTGCAATCTCCATTTGCACGCTGGTTCTGCAACCCTTACGCATAATGAGTAACACTAAGTTATGCAAAATCTTCCCATTGGAGTTGATTTTCCATAAAGATTTTTCATCCACTGTGTGGATGTTTCATGCGCTGCTCCCTGCTTTTCATTGTTTTCAAGACAATACCTGGAGGTTTCATTCTCAAGGTGGATGCTGTCTTATATTAAAAAAAAAAAAAAAGTTATTTTAACAACTGCAGACATACGTCAAATTAAATGAAGCCAAAGATGTACAAAACCCGTGCCCCCCTCCCCCTTAAAAGAAAACATGTAGAAGAATACTTAGACACGGGGTTGTTAACAGACTTCTTGGTAAAACCACAGTCTGCATTGCATGGCAACCAGGAAATGTTAGTGTGCTGTTCTCATGGGGATTTTTCTGTTTGGTTTGTGGTTCAAGATGATTGATATGTCACCAGGATGTGATAACTGGGGCTGAAAACAGGGACAGAACGAGGGTTTTGATGGTGCAGGTAGTTTTCATTCTCTGTTTGCTCTAATAGAATATAGCTTTTACATTTATGTTAAGAACTTTGTTCTAAAATTACTAAACAGATTTCAAGCTCTAGGCAGATATACATGGGTAAACGTTTCCTTATAATTACAAGTTATTTAATCCTGTATTGTCACTTCTGAACAGGAACCACCATTAGCTTAGCATTGATATCTACGTTTTGAATATTAGCACCTGCATTAATGCGTGGTAGTAATGAAGTAGGAAAAAATGGCATAATAGAAACAGATTAACACCTGTTTAAAATGTAGAGACTCCTAGTAACTATGGTTCCT